ATATGGAATTGTAGGCCAGGCACTGTGGAAGATAGACCTGTGACCTTCACCTGGGGGGAAACACCTGGTAGAGGGGAAATTTGGTTTGTGGGGTCCCCCCTGAGTGAGCGGCAGGGAAGAGAAGAGTTTAAGTGGAGTGATCACCAACATGGTGCCCACTGGCACCAACGCACCCACAAATGCCGTCTGTGACACCCATGGAAAGTCTCCATAAATGTCTCATTAAAGATCCACAATACCCGAGAGATTGTTTACTCTTCCTGCCCAGTTCCTGTTGTACTGGCTGGGCTTCTCCTAAATCAAACACACACCCTTAAACACGCCTACATCTCATTGACTGCCAGGGGTAGACAGCCGCCCTCTGTTCCATTCTGGACAGAGGGAAGGTGGAAATAGTTTCTTCTCTGTACAGTGGTGGCTTATGTGGGCACCTTTTTCCCACTGATGAGGGGCATGCTTGCACCGTGTTGTGTTCCTGACTCTTTTTCTGCTCTTTTAGATGCGACAGCCATTTTTGGTTATGCCACCCTCCCACAGCAGCCATTTTGTGTTCTGGCAACCATTTTATGATGCCCCCACAGCATTTCCTCAAAACTCCAAGTGTGCTTGCTGGCTCCTAACAGTTTGCGCCTCCCGGCTTAGGAGAACTTAGCTTCTGTATTAGAGTAAATTTCATAGTAATTCCACAGCAGGCAGTAAGGGTTTTACACTGCCATAGATTCCTCAGTGCATCCCTTCGCCTTTGTTTGAATGCAACAGACAATGCCAATCCACTCTGAAGGGTGTTGAGAAATGTCAGGGAAATGTCAACAACATTTGCAAAGTGTTTTTGAGATTCTCTCGACAAAGGCTGGACAGAAGGGCAAAGTGTTATTACATTGTTAATTGTTTAATGTAAACAAGAGGCAGCCTAAGGAATGTGGCTCAGCTACACAGCCTAATTGCCAGGCTGACTCATTTCATTATTTTGCAAGAACGATTACTGCCAGCCTCACAGAGGGAGGGTATCACACGCGGCTTTGAACTAATAGGGGAAAGCAGTTCGGTGGCCACAGTAGGGAGAGCAGCAACAATTCAGCTCGTGCCACAGAGGTTGGGAAAATTGGACGTTAACTGGATCTTGCTAGAGGCTGACAGGCTCCTGGAGGAGAGCCATATGGTATGGCCTGGCTGGACAGCCTGAGCCTGTCCCCTGAGGAGAGCATCACTAGCGGCCCTTGTGATCAGCTGAATTGTGCGTTCTGCTGTCTCACACTAAACCAAAAGACAAAGGAAAATATCAACGGCACTGTTTTTAACTCGTGCCATTTGAGGGCAATCGTGGGGTTTGAACATTCATCCTCTGATGCTAGAGCTGTCAACCAGGCATAATTTTATAGGCCTGGTCAGAGTCAGGCCTTCCTGGATGGTTGGACAGAGTTGGAGACTGCAGAACCAGTGGTGTGTGGAATCCCAATGGGCTGTTTTTGTTGCTTATTGCTCAGGCATGGATGGATATGGATGGCATCACACTGGAGAACTGCATTTCTAATGTAGCACACATATCTATGCTATGAATGAAAAGGGCTGGCACTTTGGTACAGCACATTTGTATGCAAAATGTACCAGGTTCCTACCACCAGGTAGGAAGGTTGGGAAAGGTTATTGTCTGTAGCCTTGGAAAGCTGTAGGGGTGGGGAACCTCTTTGCCCTGCTTGGCCAGATCTTCATCACCCCCACCCCAGGAAGCCAACTATGACAGGTGGGCAGGACCATCCGCCAGTCATCTGACATCATAATGGCCAGCTTCAGAAATCTGATCTGTAGGGAGTTCAGCCCTGATTTCCGCAGGGTTTGGGAGTACCAGCCAGTTCCCTTTACTAAGCAGGACTGAACACCCTGTACATCGGCAGATACATGGAGAGTTCAACCCTGCTTCCTGCAGCTGCATATCTGCTCATTGTCCTTTTGGTGCCAGTGTGCACATTTGGAATTTGAGAAAGTGCAGTGGGAGCTGGTCACAAAATGGCTGCCATGAAGCATATGTAAGAGAAGGCGACCTAGTGCAAACAAGAACTGAGTATTGAGAGCAAAGAGTCTTTTGGGCTTTGTGGATTTTTGAGGGGTTATTTACCGACATCTTTTGTGAGCACCATAGGAAGGTATTGGTGGGTGGACTGGTGCCTATTGGTATCATGGTGGCAACTCTGGATTGGTTGGATTCAGGCCTTGACACGGTCCCCCCTATGGGCTCTCTCCTGTTCCCCCACCCCCCGATGGTGCTACTTGGAACATGCTAGGTGACTGCCCCTCCTATTGGCTCCAGGCAGCCACGATTTGAAAATTCCTTCAGAGCCCTTGTTGCTGCAGAGCATTGTGGGAAATTGTAAACATGGTTTGTAGCTGCCTGTGAAAGGGAGCCAAGGCTGGCTCCACTACCATGGGTCCTGCTGGACTACTAAGGCCCAAGCGGCTGCTGGAGGGTGTCTTGCGCTGACCCTGGTCCTGATATAGGCTGCATACAAACCACGTTTTATTTAAAAATCAATGGAGATTTTGTTTTTTCTCTGTAGTTCACACACAATCTAGAACTATTGCAAATTTTTATTTATTTTTGCCCCCGAAAAGCTCTTCTTAAGGAACTGGTTTCATTTCAAAAATAAAAGTTCATTGCAGATTGATTCTGCATTATGCCACCGTGTGTTCACCTGAAAGCAAATGTAGGTAGTCCTAGCTATTGTGTGTGTGTGCACCTAGCCATTGATGTTGTGGGTGGGCATATAGCAAGATTGCAACCACCATTTCTTTCTTCATTCATGGGGTGGGGAGCCTGTGCAGAGAGCAAAAACCTAATCAAGGGGAGGGTTTTCAAATGTGTATCAAGTAACCACACGTGCCTTCATGGATGGCAGGATCTAGAATCATTCTAGATTAAAAAGCAGCATGTTGTGGACAAACATGAATAATTCTGAGTTGAAGAAAAACTACATTTTTTGTGTGATAGAAGCAGATTACTGCACATACAGCCTTAGAGCCTCAAGCTGGGCATGTGCTGATGCAATCCCATGTCTATGCTTAACACTGCACATATCTATTCAATCCATGCTCTCATCATATGAAAACAGACATATTAATTGGCTTAACCTTTTTATCTTCCTCTTGGAAGCTAGCTCTCCTATATATTTTCTGTGAGAATTTAAACCTAAGAGATTCTATCTCCGCCTATACAAAGAAACTGGCAAAAGTTGGCTTCTTGAAAGGCTTTTATTTGGCTCAACTCTAAGAATTGATAGCTCTTCATTCGTAACACTGTTGATTATTGTATTCACTAAATGCTCCCAGATGCCATTTAAGAGGCCAGGATTAAGAGAGCAAACCTGACATTTGTGGATGAATCTTCAGTGGGAATGCAAAATGCACGGACCATTTAATCACCGTATAGAAGCATTCTTTATCTTGGCGTTTCCATTACAATAACAAATATCCTATTTAAAATCAGGGAAGGCCGATATATTTGGAACGCTCTCACTTTAATAAGCTCTCCCTATGTATCTCATCTTCTAAGCTCTGGTCTGCAAACAGTTACCATGATGTCTGAGCCGATATTTCTTCTCCCACTTTTAGATGGAAAATTTTGGTTTAAAAATAGTATGTGAAAAGCTGCTGCTAAGCTCCCATACTGCTTTCCTCGTGTTACTGGAGGTAGATGGTGTGTTAGATCTCCTTGGTGCAGGTGAAAATTCAAAATGTTGTTACTTTCTCTCCAGTCGCTGTGTTTCCTGAATATGGGCGTTTGCTGGCTCTCTGAGTGGTGATCACCCAGGCAATGAGAGCTCCTGCCAAGATTCCCGCTGTTGCCGCCACAATCGCAGCCCAGTAGGGCACCTTGCCTCCATTGTTCTCTGCGTCAATCCCTGAACCCTGCACTTTGCTGTTGCTTGAGGTGAAAAGAAAGGGATTTTCCTGCAGCAGAAAGGCACAGATTACAAAACAGTATTCAGTTCTTACACCACCTAAAGATGTAAGAGGGGACCCCTCCCACCCATGAAGTACAGAAGCAACAAAATAATATTTTCCCATCTGCTGTAGCAGAAAGATTTACCATCTTAACCTTTTCCTGAACTATAAACTAACATGTTCCCTTGAAAGTTTAGGGATTAAATCCAGGTCAACATATTTTTTCCTAAATGCACCTACTATTTCAGTTTAATAAATTAAACCCATTTAGGAACAAGAGCTCTATTCTTCACCAGTCTTATACATAACAGCAGCAGGGTTCAGGGCTCATCCCACACTTGGAAAGCGTGGGTCCAAGTGATTTTCCACTTGTTCTGCACCTTCTAGGCTTGGGTCTGAGTGGTTTTGCCCTTGGTCCCACCACTTTCTCCCTGGAAAAGTGGCTCTTTGGCAATAAATCGGAGCAAATGTTTGTCTGGAGAAAGCCCAACTGCTGTTTGCTCCAATTCAGCGGGAAAGACTGAGTTTCCCCATGGGAAACTGGCAGGGCAAGGACAAGTCCTCCCTCCTATTTTTCATCCTTCTGGCCTGATTTGTGTTCTGCTTACAAGCAAAATCCATTGCAAGCTCTAATTATCATGCTCTTCAATGCTTGGTATGGCTGGCAAAGAGCTGGGTCTGAAACCTTGGGTCCTGCTTCCGACCAGTGTAAACAATACTGAGTTAGAAAGACCAGTGGCACAATGAGGTAGCTCCCTATATTCCTACACACTTGCCCAGAGCTGGGTTAACCATTAAGCAAAATAAGAATGGGCTTAGGGCATCAAGGGAAGAGGGGCACCACAGAATGTTTCCATTGCCAGATTTACCATGGACCATATGGCGCTAGCTCCCACAATAAATGAAAAAAATACATACATATATATGTAATAATAATAATATAATAATAATTGAAATGATAAAATAGTAATAATAGACTGTAATAATACAGTATACAGTTACAGGTAGGTAGCTGTGTTGGTCTGCCGTAGTTGAAACAAAATAAAAAAATTCCTTCCAGTAGCACCTTAGAGACCAACTAAGTTTGTTATTGGTTTGAGCTTTCGTGTGCATGCACACAAAAGCTCATACCGATAACAAACTTAGTTGGTCTCTAAGGTGCTGCTGGAAGGAATTTTTTTTATTTTGTTAATAATATACAGTTAATCATTGTTTATATTTTGAATTAGATATATATGCGGGCACCAAAACACTTAGGGCCTCTAAAGGTCTTAATCTAGCCATTAGCATCATTAGCAGCAGCATCAGGACTGGTGCAATTCTGAATCCCAAAGAATCTCGCTTCATGTCCTGGGCTCTTGCCTCTTTTACTATCTAGTTCTCTTTGGGCAACCAGATTCCCTTCATGCCACACAAAGCCTATAATGGGGGATGGCACATTTTAAGCCATTTAAAAGTTATTTCAGAAGGAATGCAACAAATCAAAAGTGAGAAGAGTTTATTTCGTTGTGGGGAAACCAGATATGGGATTGCATAGGCCCCATCTCTTGATTCAGGAGGGCTCTTCCTATGTCTGTGCTATGGGGCAAGATGTTTCTGCAGACCTTTGTTACTTACCGAGGTTGGGCACTTGAGTTTCGACCTATCATATGTGAAGTTATTGTATGACTGCTTATGATCAACTGGCTCCAGCTGAAAGAAAAAAGGACAAATAATTCGCCCCTGAATCGTAATTCTATATTTTCATGGGACTGGGCATGTTATAATACACCACAAGAACCACACTAATAAAATATCACCATTAAATTGCAGTGCTCAATCCTTATACCTACTGCATTATTATAGTATTGTATATATTACTGCTCTGTATTCTGCTATATTATACAATTATAGCTTGGAAAGTGTTCTTTCTACAGGTACAGAATAAGATTTTTTAAAAATGTTAAGCACCCTGTCTTAAGGTCATGACAGGAGGCTATAAAAACCCTGCGGAAATGTAATCTATGTCTTAAGTTCCAATGCATAAAAGCAGCCTTTTATAGCTTCTATAGAGTTCATGGGAAGTGGCAAATTAATAGGATGAAATATCAAATGTATAGTGAAGGGCCTCAATACGTGGCAGCTAATGTAGTCCTCTGGAAGCAAATTTTATGCAGGTGAAACCTAATGGACTCAAGAGGGATGAGAAAAGATTAGATCTGTGCAACCTGATTCTCATTTCAATGGGATTTGCTTCCAGGCAAGGATTGCAGTGTTATTCCTAGCCTTTCAGAGCTGGCCAGAAATGTAGGGGTGTGCTGGCTGTTATCCAGAAGGTTATTCTGGATAGATCTGTAATCCAGAAGTTACACATTTATGCTGTGTGCAAGCCACAATGTTTGGACAGCCTGTCCAACAGGGTTGCGCTGTAAATGGGAGATTAAATTAACCATGCCAAGCACGGGGATATAGCCAGTTTTATCTGCCCTTTTTAGGGCGCAGTTCTAAGTTGCCTGAACACACAGAGTGCTGCTAAGAGTACTCCCAGGCACATAGGAAACGTATGCTGCAAGAACCCTAGTTGGGAAACCAGCTACCCACCCATCTATTTGCTTCTTCCTCTCCAAGAACCATTTAGCACGTTTTCATTGGAGCCTGTGGACTTGACTTGAAGCCTGACTGCACTGTATTACTATAAGAAATTGCACAGCAGGGTAGAGTTTTTGCTCCTCCTCCAAGTTGCTCTATCTCCGGGATGGACAACCAGTGGTCCCTCAGATATTGTTGGACTCCAACTCCCATCAGCCCTTTCTAGCCCCATGGGTCAGAGATGATGAGAGTTGTAGTCCAGCAATGCCTGGAGGGCCCACCCAGGTTGCCCACCCTTGCTCTAGACCAATAGGTCTAGACCAGGGATCTGCAACCTTTAAGACAAAAAGAGCCACTTGGACCCGTTTCCGAAGAAAAAAAAACTGGGAGCTGCAAAACTCATCATTATAAAAATAACTTTTTTTGTCACTTTTTTATTATTTCTTTGTTTGACCCCTCAGAATTACTCCTCCTCATAGAAATAAACGTTAAATTAACATGTTACCTTTGTGTGTGTGTGTGTTCTTCACTCCCCTTCAAAACAGTGACCAGCGTACATGCCCCCTGTCAATGCCGGGACCAGCGTACGGGCCCCTTCCAATGGAGCGGGCGGGCGGGAAGGTGACGTCGGGACGGTGTGTGACTAACGCACGCACCGCCCCCATGCGACGTCACAGCCAGTACAGCGCCCGCCACAGTGGGGAGTGTCGGGGCGCACAATGCGCCTCCTCCCCTCGCTAGTATCCGCCCCGGAGCCGCGGCAAGAGTGTAAAAGAGCCACATGCGGCTCCGGAGCCGCAGGTTGCTGACCCCTGGTCTAGGCTACTCAGTGATTTCTTAGGTGAACAGAGACTTGGTCACTTAAGGCAACACACATTCATACTGATTTCTTTGGAGGATTTACTGCACAGCATTGCATCAAGCAATTGTTGTTGCTCATTCCAGTGCATTTCCCTATCGCTTTCCATATTTAAAAAACCCACTTTTTTAAAAAGCAGGTTTGTCGAGTGAGAGTGCCAAATCCACATTAATTGCCTGAATTTTCAAGTATGTGATTTGATCCCACCTGCAAAATAGTGGCAGTTTGAAAGTGCCTGAGCTCAATAGTTCAGTACAGTTGTACCTTGGAAGTCGAACGGAATCCATTCCAGAAGTCCGTTCGACATCCAAAATGTTCAAAAACCAAAGTGTGGCTTCTGATTGGCTGCAGGAAGCTTCTGCAGCCAATTGGAAGCCACGGAAGCCCCATCGGACATTTGGCTTCCAAAAATAGTTCGCAAACCAGAACACTCTCTTCTGGGCTTGCAACGTTCAGGAGCCAAAACGTTTGGGAACTAAGCTGTAAGACTTCCAAGGTAAGACTTCCAAGGTAAGACTGTATAGAGTTCATGCTTTGCATGGGAAAATGTCCACGGCTAATCCATGAGATCTCCAGACAGAACTAGGATAATTCCTGTTTGAAACTCTGGAGAGCTGCTTCCAGTCACTGTATAAAATACTGAGCTAATATATTGAAATAAATAGACCAATATCCTGACTCAATATAAAGTAGCTTCCCAATTCAGATTTCCCTGCCTCTGCATCCATTAGATCACAGTAGGTCTCATCTTTATTTTGAACGTAGCTGAGCAAAGCAGACTGGCATGCACACCCTGTGTTTTTTTGGCACAGAGGACTCCTGCAGGCACAAATCCTTCCCAGGGGAGACAACGTGGTACGTTGACAGAGAACAGAACAGCTTAAAAATCCTGGGAAGGCCAGAAAAGTGGCTGGCTGGAGCAGCTGAGAATGCGCTGATTTGGCACCCTCCCTTTGCAGCCTTTGCTGGCAGGGCGATGGCAAGAATTCCACTGGAGACTCCAACATTCCCTGACCCAGAAAAACCTCAGGCGAGGAGGCAGATAAATTAAAAGCACTCTGAGCTCTCATTCCTCTACTCCAGCAAAGAAAAAGGGTCCTCGCTAGTCTAGGAAAGTGAACCACGCTGGTAAATCAAGAAAGTTAAAAAACAAGAACCCTGAAACAGAAAGGAAATCAGCACAACTCTTCTGACCTAAGGTCAGAACTGTATGAGATTGCTAGCCGTGAGGCAATTCTAAAACCCAGGAACTAGGAATATGACTTTGTTATTCCACATCTGGTTGGAAAACATACTCTGTTTCTGGTAGCGTGGCTTCCTCAAAAAGCAAATAAAAAACTCTGCTTATAGCTCTTTTGTGGCCCCGATCCCAGCTCCCACCCGCCTCAGCCAGCATGGCTAATAGGCAGGGATGATGGGAGTTGTAGGTCAACATCTGGAAGGAACCAGTTTGGCAAAAGCCGAGATGACATAGCAACCAGATTTGCTTGAGGGGCAATTTGGCCTCAAGTGCTGGTTAAAGGGGCCACGTACCATTCTCCTCCTGTTCAAGGCAACACTTTCCACCAGTCATGCCTGGAATGAAGCTTGCTGGAGAGTCATGACATTGCTCTTGCTATGGTCACCTGCTAGGCCATCTCTTAATTTAAAAAAATGAGGGTAACGCTCAGGCTGCTCTTTTATAGGCAATGGAGGAAATAACTTGCCAGGGGCTATTAGTCTGTCATATGACATACCTAGACTAAGGTACTCTGGTCCCAAGTTGTTTGGGGTTTGTAGGAGAAAAACAGCACCTTTATCTCACCCCTAAGGACCATATAAGGATTTGTAACTTTGCAAAACCATTGCAAGCGTTCGGTTTAGCCTTATTGGATTTTGCCACCTAGTGGCAGGTAAGGAGAATGGGTGTCCTTCCTGAGACCACCTTCATCTGCAAAGCCCCACCTCCTAAGCTGCGTAAGTATTTTGGAGTATTATGGGTGGCGTGGAGCTGTTGCTGAGTACCGAAGAAACTGCAGCAAAAACCTTAAAGGGCTTGGAGCAGACTGGGTTATGATGTTGGATGTGAGTTTGGGCTGATTTCTGTCTCTCTCTCTCTCTCTCTCTCTCGGGTTCAGCATTGTAGAGCAGGGTTTCCCTGACTTGATTCTCCAGTTGGTTTTGTACTACAACTCCCATCATCCCTGACCTGGGTCCTACTAGCTAGGGATGATGGGAGTTGTAGTCCAAAACCAGTTGGAGAGCCAAGTTTGGGAAAGCCTGTTCTAGAGTAACATTTGTTATTGCTGCTATTGTTGTTGTAGTGGAGTAAGTGCCGAGGGGGGTATAAGGTGTTGCCACCTCCTAGAGAGGCTGAGGGTCAAACCACACCTGCCTCCCCTCAACCTGAAATAAGCCATGTTGGCTGGAGCTGGTGGCAGTAGCTGTTCAAAACATCTGGAGGCACCAGGCTGGGGAAGCCTCAGCTACACACTGTGCTTATTGTACAGTGGTGCCCCGCAAGACGAATGCCTCGCAAGACGAAAAACTCGCTAGACGAAAGGGTTTTGTGTTTTTTGAGTCGTTCCGCAAGACGTCTTGCGAGTTCTTGCGAGTTTGTTTCCTTTTTCTTAAAGCCGCTAAGCCGTTAATAGCCGCTAGGCCGCTAAGCCGCCAATAGCCGTGCTTCGCAAGACGAAAAAACCGCAAGATGAAGAGACTCGCGGAACGGATTAATTTCGTCTTGCAAGGCAC